ACCGTATACGCTTTTACATCGACTGCATACATTTTTAGTCTGTTTTCAAATTGTAATTGATTTTAAGAAAGACAGGGTCACAAAATTTGATTACACTCAGCAGATTTTTTCAATTTGACTTCGCAATCTTCCCCATTATATCTCTCTTTTTGTTTCATTCAATGAAAATAGGTCTATGGCCTGGGGGGTACTCCCATATATATATAAGATATATGGGTATGTGCCGCTGTGAAGGGGTATGGTTTACAGACAGTCTAGAATAGGGTACAATTTACCGGAAAAGTGACCAGTGTTGAAATAATTTAGTTTAGAGCAGGATTCTTTACCCCGGGGTTCTATAATAGAAATTGAAACTTGAAAGTGACTTTGTAAGGCATCGGTGTAGTCAGCTTATGTTGGACAATGATAGTGATAAAGTTTCTGCATGGAAAATAGATAGTCTGGCATATGGTAGGGGGTTTGGGTACGTAGTCTAGAATAGGGTTGCAAAATCAAGCTGATCATAGTCTAGTAAAGGGTAAGGGTTTTCAGTGTCCAAGCGAGACACCCCTACCCAAAGATTTACAGAGTGCCCCCAGGGACCGGGTCTTTGGGTTTTGATCTTTCGAAGTTACAGTCGAACCCCTATTAAGCGGCCACCCATTGAATGGCCACCCCTATTAGGAGTCCAGTAACGTAATAAAAGTCCCGATGAGGGCTTTTCTGTTGTTTTTGCCACTATTAAGCGGCCACTATCCATTTCCCCGAGGGTGACCGTTTAATACAGGTTGAACTGTCTACTCAGGCTAGTGCCCCTTTAATGTTTCAATTCTAATTTTCGATCGCAGGTAACAACGCAAAAAACTACGAAGATCTGGGAGTGATGATTAAGACTGACAAATGTTGCCGTACTCACGATCAATGCAGAGAATACATCCCAGCGTTTGCCTCTATTGGCGGAATGCAGAATAACTTACCTTACACGGTCTCACACTGTGATTGTGATTCGGCCTTTTATCAATGCTTAAAACAAGCCAACACTGAGACAGCACAACTGGTTGGAGATATGTTTTTCAATGTCTTAAAAGTACCTTGTTTTGTTTGGAAAAAGAAAGACTGTCCTGACGGAAGATGCCAGGAACAACGAAAGGCTGTTTTGCAGCTTCCTAAACATTTTCGCTGAGCGGAAAAATGTTACAACTTGCTGCACTGATGGAATCGCTGATCCTGTCTACAAAGTCATTAAAGTGAAACTTCGAGACTATGTTTTTCTTTTAAGACTACGACATAAGCACAAGCACATAAGCCTAACTGTAGTGAGGACGGGCACAGCATAAGTATAAACACAAACAAATGGTAGTGAGGACACGCACAACACAGGCATAAGCACAAGCACAAGCAGAACAAAAGGTTATGTTATTCTTGTGCTTTTGCCTTCGCTTATGTCAAGTGAAGACGCCCTTCTGGTCTTTCTGTAAGCCATAATCATAAACTCGTCCGCCATCTTGTTTTACGTATCGCAGAGGAATGGAGGAACCGAAAATAAGGTAAGGTAATAGTCTGCGTATGTTTATGTTTGTGTTGTGGGAGTCCTCACTACCGTTACCATGCTTTACTGCTTTAAACGCAAAGCTGATTTGTCTGTTGGCATAGCACTTAAGATTTTTTAAACAATTTCAGAAAAAATACATACATACTGAAAGTTGCACAGAAAGAATCACAAGGGAATCATGCTGTCTTCTTTTCACTCTTTGATTTCACTTTCTAAAGCCTTAGATATTTTTTTCAAAATGCACATTACTTTTCTATCAATCTCACTCTGGTAGAAATACGAACACTGATTGAAGATGGGATAAAACGACAAAGATTTCAGCGGTCGGTCAGCGGTCTTTCTAAGGCTGAGCAAGTTAAAGGAGCTACGTCACGGTTTGCCCATCTTGAGAAGTTAAGCCTGAATTTTTCAAGTTCGTCGTCTGAAATCCGTGTCCATCTTCTCTATCCTTAACCATCCTTGTTCCTTTATGGTTTATTATTATCGCTTTGGTGTTTTTCTATTTTATTAAACTATTATTTTTAAGTTTCCTGCAATTCAAAGTTAATTTTATATGTGGCCAAAATATAGCTTAAAATGCCATGACTGAGCTCCTTTGAATCCAAAGACTGAACACAAATACTTATTATATGAACTCCTGTATAATCCCAAAGGAGGCCACTCAATTCAATGCGTTGCCTGTACGGACTCTGATTATGAGGGAGTCGCAGTCTGGTGCACAGTATTTCTTTTTTCTTTTTCTTCTATCGTTTTAGTCTGGTGTATTTCGTCAATAAACTTTCTCAATGCTCAACTATAAAACTGTAAGTCAAACTACTCTTATTTCATTTTATTTCACCACTCTGGTTTCTTTTAAAGCTAAAAACATGCAATTTGTGTTGTTTGCTGTTCTTGTAACATCTCGACGCTTCTTAAACGCAGAAAGCGGCTTTTGTCAACTATTTATTATTTTCTTATTAATTATTCTCTTTCTTAAATATTATAGAGCCCCGTCCAAACGTAATCGCTTGCTGTGTCGACTTCTCGACATCGAATAGCGCCAAGCTTAGAGTGTTATTTCCCAGAACAAAATACTGAAGGGAAGAAACTATACGAATCTTTGCACTAGAACAATAGCCCATCTCCGAGTTGCCCTAAGCCTCTCTATCAAAGCGAGGCCTGGTGAAGAACCATTCATATGAAAATAAGTTTAATTTGCATGTGAAAGAAATTTCATTTTCATATGAAAAGATGGAAACCAAGACTTGGTTTGAGAAAGAGGGCTAAAGGTAATTCGGATAGGGCCTATTCGCGAGAGGCTCGATGAAATACACTGATTTAGCTGCGACACTACTGCGCTACAGTTGAACTGGGGCTCAATTACGGGCAGTCCTTACAATTCAAAATTGTCGAGAGAAAAGAGCTGTAAACAAACGAAAGCGAGCTCTCTCCCGTTTGTATTTTATACTGCTCCTGACTTCAATACAAAAACGTTAGCCTCATATATTTTTTACCTTTTAAATAAGTCAATCTGTTCCTCTTTTCGAAGTTTACCACGCCACAAAGGCAAAGGAAATACTTTAAGATTTTCGTGGAGGTCACTTCTCCAGAATCAACGGATCGCGCCAGCGATCGCTGAGGAAATAACTTTGGCAGAGTGTTTTATATTTTGTAATTGAAAAAAGTAGAAAAATTCAGGCTACTTTGAATAGCATTTCCATCCGCTAAATTTTTCTCTTCTCGTGAGTGAAGTAGTTTACTTTTTCCGAGTCCCAATCGTGAAACCAAGCGGAGGAGATCAACTATAACTTTGTCAAGTGAGAAATGGGCACCAAAGTTAATTTGTTTTCTCCAGGCCTTGATGATATTCTGTGTCTTAAAAACAGAAGTATATGAGCAAAGAATTCTTGTTGTAGATCTCAAGCGTAAGTCGCGTGGGGTCATGACACGTCGTCTCTATCAAACCAATGATCAATCACATCAATCACCAGCAACACGTGATCAAAGATGATCAGTCATTGCACGGTTACGCGCTTACTGGTTCAGCTGAGTAACACAAAACAAAACCGTTCTTTACTGTTTACTAGTGAGCAAACAGGATTTCATCACTTCGTAGACTCCACCTATTTAACTCTTGTGAAAGATCAAAATTCGAGCTTGTTCGATTTTAAGAGACTTTACCTTACACGCATAAATACGTTTGGTAGCAAAACACTGAAATTACCGGCTTCTTGAATTTTACATGGTCACTGTTGATCACCTTTTGCACCTAAATGTTTTTCACACATCTATAGTCTCAGCTTGAAAACACGAGCTAGAAATAGACTCGATATAATTTGTTCCTTGATATTCCTAATTCCGTCTCTCGTGCACTCCTGAGATATGCGCTCCTAATGACGCCCTCTTTCAGGTAGTAATTCGTATTACCATTTCTCTACTGTCAAGACTAACCGATCAAATATTTTCATGGATGCAACATCACCTTGATCGTTTAGCCACCCTTGGTCAAACTTTTTAATGCAACGTTTTGCGTCAAAAACGATTGATCCAAGATATGTTGGCTAGAAATGTTTGATCGTTTTGTCGAGGCTCACGAACTATCCAAGAAAATTGACTTCTGTCTTACAAAACTGGCTGACGTAACCCCCATGATCCAACGTTGCCATGACAGATTTCTGCGCTCTCTTACGTTTCCGTGTAACAGCGTGATTGTCTAATAACAATCGGCAATTGTTCTGATACTTTTTCGAAGGTTTGGAGATTCTGAACAACACCAACCAATTCAATCTTTCGCGATAGACGATCAATGACACGGTACGTTTTGTCACCGACTAAAAGAACAGAGTTAACAAGCATTCTGTTTTCACACAACTGATCATTCCTCAATCTTTCTGCTGGCAATGAGACTCTCCAAAAGATGCTGCTACTTGCCATTAAATCAGCGAAGACGCACTTCACTAACTGGTTTTCATCCGGTTAGCCGAGCGTTACGCCTTAAAGAGTAAACTGGCAGAAGGGCGAAATGGCATATTTAGTTCATCAAGCGCTGAAGTTCCTGACAATATTATGCGCTAACTTGCTCCCTTAATGCCAAATGTTTAAAATAATGTCAGCGAAAATGGTCACCCTCTTCATTTAAAAAAAAAACAACAACAACAACCAAGTAGAGGAGCAACGTATTGCACTGAGTTCTTTCCCTCTAGCTACCCGGCACTACGACCTCTCTCCTAGTTCATGCATGCCTCATATTAATGCCTCATTACAGGCGAACCAGCCTTAGTATGCCATATCCAATAAGAGCTTTTCACCATCGAAAGGCGTCAGAACACATTGGCAGGTTTACAAGATCGTTTCCGAAGTAGGAGGGGCTGGAGGAAGATGCTGTTTCCGTCGGGCTTTAGGCGTTGAAGGTTTGGAGCTACCGCCGCTCGAGTGACTGAGCTCTTCAGTTTCAATAATAGGGTCGTGTCCAAACTTCATAGCACCGTTAGTTATTCGATGCGCCACAATAGGGCTTGAATACTGACCAGTAGGAAGGTCTAGTTTGGCGGTGCGCACCGGCGAATCCGTTGCAACCATAAGTTTGGGTTCTAGCAGCGGGGACTTTAGTATAAGGTTATTGAGATTTCGGTAGGATATCGTCTCCGCTTTTTCTCTTTTGCTTAGTTCCTCTTTATAGTAGAACTCAAAGTTAGAGACGATGACTGGTACCGGAAGAGCAATGGCGAGCACTCCCGATAGTGCACACAACGCTCCGACTAATTTACCTGCGAAACAAACAAAAAACAGGTAAACGAAGGTCTGGATCGCCCTAATACTGAGGCTTTATCTCTTGTTTCGTCCGCACGAAGCCTGGGGCGGAAGCTGGCCAGAGAACTCATAAACCTCAATCTTTTTAACAGTCGTGTCTGAACGAAAACTTCCTAAGAGAAATTTGTAGCTGTAAGCTGAGTCAAAGATGTCCTAACTTCACTCTAAGCAGCCATATGGGATCTGGCGCTATTTGCTCGGCTTACACGTTCAATGCTATTCGGCGACGTCACAGATTAAAACCATATAAAGACTTTGGGTTTGAATTTTGGGTAGACAATAGCGCGGCATCACTTTCCTTTTATGGTTATTTCAATTGTCTGTGGCTCTCAGGCTCTTTTGTTATTATTACAAAAGGTTTGGAAGAACCGACGCTTAGCTAATTTCCGAGCGCGAGAATACGGCGGAGTCTAGGCTAAACAAGCATGCATACATATGTACATAATCTTTATTTCAACACGATCAAAAAATCGTCAGCTAAAACTACAGCCGAGAATACCGAGTCCGAACTAGGCCTGATCTGTGAAGGAGAGTAATGCAGATTTACCTGTGGATTTGTTTAGAATTTGACCAATTTTAGCACGCTTGTTGAGTCTAGGAAGGATATGATAACTTGTCTATTAAAATTCTGGCTTTTTTAGGACTTTTTAGATTTCACTAAGACTAGCGAGGCCCAGACGAGATTTTCCAGAACGAAGCTATTTACCCTAAGGGCCTGTTTACAAGGAGAGAGGGTTTACATAGCAGCTAGGGTTTCCCGGGTAGACGGGTAAACAGGCCCTAAATTTAATCAGAAAAGTGTTGGCTCTACAAAATCAAAAGGAGTTGGATGGAAAAGTACTTGAAAATTTCCCGAGAAGGAGGTTAAGAAAACACAACTTACCTGGTGTGGTCTCGGGCGCTACATCACCATACCCCACCGTTGTCATGGTGACAACTGCCCACCAGAAGGCAGCAGGAATGCTGGAAAACTTGGGATTTGATTCCTCTTCGGCGTAATACGCGGCGCTGGCAAACAGCACGACTCCGATAACCAAGAAGAGCATTAACATGATCAGCTCATTGACGCTGGCGTACAACGTCTTCCCCAGAACGTGCAAGCCCTTGGAGTGGCGAGTGAGCTTGAAGATCCGACACACTCGAATTACCCTCATGACTCGAAGGATATCGATGCTCCCCGCGGACTCCTCAGGGACCGTGAGAGTCACGTAAAAAGGGAGAATGGAAAGCAGATCTAGGATGTTTAGCACCCCTTTGAGGAAAGCAATCTTATTAGGCGAGGCGATCAAGCGGATCACATACTCGAAAGTGAACCACGAGCTGCAAATCGCGTTCATGACGAAGAAAATACGTTTGTTTTTGCCGCGCTCTGCAGGCTGAGTTACTGTCCCGTTGCTGTTCCTCTTTTCGGGAACAGAATCGTCCAACACGGGCATTGTTTCCACACAGAAAATCACAATAGAAATCATGATAATCACAAGCGAGAATATCGCCAAGGCTTTGGCCTGAGGTGAAGAGCTTGGGTATTCGAACAACATCCAAATTGTTCGCAAGGTCTTGTTCTCGGGAAGTTCCTCTTCTTCCACCTCCCCATCTCCGTTCTCTTCTTCTTCGTAGGCGGCCTCTTCATTTTCTTTCTGTATTTCGTCGGTCAACTGAAAGAAGTTCAACTCCTCGAGGAAAATTTCATTGGGTACATGTAGAGGCCTCTCAAGAAGTCCGCCTGATTGATAATAATACAAGATGGCGGTAAACGAACTCCGATGTCGATCGAAGAAATACTCGTTGTTTTTGTCGTCAAAGTACCGCTTTCGCTTTTCGGGATTTCCCAACAGCGTGTTGGGAAACTGGTTCAACGTGTGCTCGAAAGTCTCGTATTTTTTCCCGCCGATGTTGATGACGACTGGCTCCGCCAATTTGTCGATCACGACTGGTACCGAGTTTGAAATTGACCAGTCACGTGACGTGGTGCGCGACCGGCGGTAACTAAGGGTAACTGCTGTGGCGACAGCCATTGCCATAGGGCTGAGGTAAAAAACCGACCAGAAAAATTCACCCTTATTTTACAACGTGGTTTTCCTCTGTTTAAGACACTTATTGTAATTTGTTAACTTTCCAACTTTCTTTAGGAGGCGTTTACACGTAATTTCCTGTTTGCAGATCATCCATAGAGTTCAGTGTTTTGTTGGACACAGCTTTCAGTAGCTTTTTCAAACATTCGTCATAAAGGTCCAGCTTTTCGCAAATCCCCCAGGAACAAGCCTTTTCCTAAGTCTTTGCTCTGATTAAACCGAAATTGAAAACAAACTCTTTAAATTATTCAAAACTCACAGCACGACACTGGTTTCAATATATTTGAATTACNGCACAAGCACAAGCAGAACAAAAGGTTATGTTATTCTTGTGCTTTTGCCTTCGCTTATGTCAAGTGAAGACGCCCTTCTGGTCTTTCTGTAAGCCATAATCATAAACTCGTCCGCCATCTTGTTTTACGTATCGCAGAGGAATGGAGGAACCGAAAATAAGGTAAGGTAATAGTCTGCGTATGTTTATGTTTGTGTTGTGGGAGTCCTCACTACCGTTACCATGCTTTACTGCTTTAAACGCAAAGCTGATTTGTCTGTTGGCATAGCACTTAAGATTTTTTAAACAATTTCAGAAAAAATACATACATACTGAAAGTTGCACAGAAAGAATCACAAGGGAATCATGCTGTCTTCTTTTCACTCTTTGATTTCACTTTCTAAAGCCTTAGATATTTTTTTCAAAATGCACATTACTTTTCTATCAATCTCACTCTGGTAGAAATACGAACACTGATTGAAGATGGGATAAAACGACAAAGATTTCAGCGGTCGGTCAGCGGTCTTTCTAAGGCTGAGCAAGTTAAAGGAGCTACGTCACGGTTTGCCCATCTTGAGAAGTTAAGCCTGAATTTTTCAAGTTCGTCGTCTGAAATCCGTGTCCATCTTCTCTATCCTTAACCATCCTTGTTCCTTTATGGTTTATTATTATCGCTTTGGTGTTTTTCTATTTTATTAAACTATTATTTTTAAGTTTCCTGCAATTCAAAGTTAATTTTATATGTGGCCAAAATATAGCTTAAAATGCCATGACTGAGCTCCTTTGAATCCAAAGACTGAACACAAATACTTATTATATGAACTCCTGTATAATCCCAAAGGAGGCCACTCAATTCAATGCGTTGCCTGTACGGACTCTGATTATGAGGGAGTCGCAGTCTGGTGCACAGTATTTCTTTTTTCTTTTTCTTCTATCGTTTTAGTCTGGTGTATTTCGTCAATAAACTTTCTCAATGCTCAACTATAAAACTGTAAGTCAAACTACTCTTATTTCATTTTATTTCACCACTCTGGTTTCTTTTAAAGCTAAAAACATGCAATTTGTGTTGTTTGCTGTTCTTGTAACATCTCGACGCTTCTTAAACGCAGAAAGCGGCTTTTGTCTACTATTTATTATTTTCTTATTAATTATTCTCTTTCTTAAATATTATAGAGCCCCGTCCAAACGTAATCGCTTGCTGTGTCGACTTCTCGACATCGAATAGCGCCAAGCTTAGAGTGTTATTTCCCAGAACAAAATACTGAAGGGAAGAAACTATACGAATCTTTGCACTAGAACAATAGCCCATCTCCGAGTTGCCCTAAGCCTCTCTATCAAAGCGAGGCCTGGTGAAGAACCATTCATATGAAAATAAGTTTAATTTGCATGTGAAAGAAATTTCATTTTCATATGAAAAGATGGAAACCAAGACTTGGTTTGAGAAAGAGGGCTAAAGGTAATTCGGATAGGGCCTATTCGCGAGAGGCTCGATGAAATACACTGATTTAGCTGCGACACTACTGCGCTACAGTTGAACTGGGGCTCAATTACGGGCAGTCCTTACAATTCAAAATTGTCGAGAGAAAAGAGCTGTAAACAAACGAAAGCGAGCTCTCTCCCGTTTGTATTTTATACTGCTCCTGACTTCAATACAAAAACGTTAGCCCCATATATTTTTTACCTTTTAAATAAGTCAATCTGTTCCTCTTTTCGAAGTTTACCACGCCACAAAGGCAAAGGAAATACTTTAAGATTTTCGTGGAGGTCACTTCTCCAGAATCAACGGATCGCGCCAGCGATCGCTGAGGAAATAACTTTGGCAGAGTGTTTTATATTTTGTAATTGAAAAAAGTAGAAAAATTCAGGCTACTTTGAATAGCATTTCCATCCGCTAAATTTTTCTCTTCTCGTGAGTGAAGTAGTTTACTTTTTCCGAGTCCCAATCGTGAAACCAAGCGGAGGAGATCAACTATAACTTTGTCAAGTGAGAAATGGGCACCAAAGTTAATTTGTTTTCTCCAGGCCTTGATGATATTCTGTGTCTTAAAAACAGAAGTATATGAGCAAAGAATTCTTGTTGTAGATCTCAAGCGTAAGTCGCGTGGGGTCATGACACGTCGTCTCTATCAAACCAATGATCAATCACATCAATCACCAGCAACACGTGATCAAAGATGATCAGTCATTGCACGGTTACGCGCTTACTGGTTCAGCTGAGTAACACAAAACAAAACCGTTCTTTACTGTTTACTAGTGAGCAAACAGGATTTCATCACTTCGTAGACTCCACCTATTTAACTCTTGTGAAAGATCAAAATTCGAGCTTGTTCGATTTTAAGAGACTTTACCTTACACGCATAAATACGTTTGGTAGCAAAACACTGAAATTACCGGCTTCTTGAATTTTACATGGTCACTGTTGATCACCTTTTGCACCTAAATGTTTTTCACACATCTATAGTCTCAGCTTGAAAACACGAGCTAGAAATAGACTCGATATAATTTGTTCCTTGATATTCCTAATTCCGTCTCTCGTGCACTCCTGAGATATGCGCTCCTAATGACGCCCTCTTTCAGGTAGTAATTCGTATTACCATTTCTCTACTGTCAAGACTAACCGATCAAATATTTTCATGGATGCAACATTACCTTGATCGTTTAGCCACCCTTGGTCAAACTTTTTAATGCAACGTTTTGCGTCAAAAACGATTGATCCAAGATATGTTGGCTAGAAATGTTTGATCGTTTTGTCGAGGCTCACGAACTATCCAAGAAAATTGACTTCTGTCTTACAAAACTGGCTGACGTAACCCCCATGATCCAACGTTGCCATGACAGATTTCTGCGCTCTCTTACGTTTCCGTGTAACAGCGTGATTGTCTAATAACAATCGGCAATTGTTCTGATACTTTTTCGAAGGTTTGGAGATTCTGAACAACACCAACCAATTCAATCTTTCGCGATAGACGATCAATGACACGGTACGTTTTGTCACCGACTAAAAGAACAGAGTTAACAAGCATTCTGTTTTCACACAACTGATCATTCCTCAATCTTTCTGCTGGCAATGAGACTCTCCAAAAGATGCTGCTACTTGCCATTAAATCAGCGAAGACGCACTTCACTAACTGGTTTTCATCCGGTTAGCCGAGCGTTACGCCTTAAAGAGTAAACTGGCAGAAGGGCGAAATGGCATATTTAGTTCATCAAGCGCTGAAGTTCCTGACAATATTATGCGCTAACTTGCTCCCTTAATGCCAAATGTTTAAAATAATGTCAGCGAAAATGGTCACCCTCTTCATTTAAAAAAAAAACAACAACAACAACCAAGTAGAGGAGCAACGTATTGCACTGAGTTCTTTCCCTCTAGCTACCCGGCACTACGACCTCTCTCCTAGTTCATGCATGCCTCATATTAATGCCTCATTACAGGCGAACCAGCCTTAGTATGCCATATCCAATAAGAGCTTTTCACCATCGAAAGGCGTCAGAACACATTGGCAGGTTTACAAGATCGTTTCCGAAGTAGGAGGGGCTGGAGGAAGATGCTGTTTCCGTCGGGCTTTAGGCGTTGAAGGTTTGGAGCTACCGCCGCTCGAGTGACTGAGCTCTTCAGTTTCAATAATAGGGTCGTGTCCAAACTTCATAGCACCGTTAGTTATTCGATGCGCCACAATAGGGCTTGAATACTGACCAGTAGGAAGGTCTAGTTTGGCGGTGCGCACCGGCGAATCCGTTGCAACCATAAGTTTGGGTTCTAGCAGCGGGGACTTTAGTATAAGGTTATTGAGATTTCGGTAGGATATCGTCTCCGCTTTTTCTCTTTTGCTTAGTTCCTCTTTATAGTAGAACTCAAAGTTAGAGACGATGACTGGTACCGGAAGAGCAATGGCGAGCACTCCCGATAGTGCACACAACGCTCCGACTAATTTACCTGCGAAACAAACAAAAAACAGGTAAACGAAGGTCTGGATCGCCCTAATACTGAGGCTTTATCTCTTGTTTCGTCCGCACGAAGCCTGGGGCGGAAGCTGGCCAGAGAACTCATAAACCTCAATCTTTTTAACAGTCGTGTCTGAACGAAAACTTCCTAAGAGAAATTTGTAGCTGTAAGCTGAGTCAAAGATGTCCTAACTTCACTCTAAGCAGCCATATGGGATCTGGCGCTATTTGCTCGGCTTACACGTTCAATGCTATTCGGCGACGTCACAGATTAAAACCATATAAAGACTTTGGGTTTGAATTTTGGGTAGACAATAGCGCGGCATCACTTTCCTTTTATGGTTATTTCAATTGTCTGTGGCTCTCAGGCTCTTTTGTTATTATTACAAAAGGTTTGGAAGAACCGACGCTTAGCTAATTTCCGAGCGCGAGAATACGGCGGAGTCTAGGCTAAACAAGCATGCATACATATGTACATAATCTTTATTTCAACACGATCAAAAAATCGTCAGCTAAAACTACAGCCGAGAATACCGAGTCCGAACTAGGCCTGATCTGTGAAGGAGAGTAATGCAGATTTACCTGTGGATTTGTTTAGAATTTGACCAATTTTAGCACGCTTGTTGAGTCTAGGAAGGATATGATAACTTGTCTATTAAAATTCTGGCTTTTTTAGGACTTTTTAGATTTCACTAAGACTAGCGAGGCCCAGACGAGATTTTCCAGAACGAAGCTATTTACCCTAAGGGCCTGTTTACAAGGAGAGAGGGTTTACATAGCAGCTAGGGTTTCCCGGGTAGACGGGTAAACAGGCCCTAAATTTAATCAGAAAAGTGTTGGCTCTACAAAATCAACAGGAGTTGGATGGAAAAGTACTTGAAAATTTCCCGAGAAGGAGGTTAAGAAAACACAACTTACCTGGTGTGGTCTCGGGCGCTACATCACCATACCCCACCGTTGTCATGGTGACAACTGCCCACCAGAAGGCAGCAGGAATGCTGGAAAACTTGGGATTTGATTCCTCTTCGGCGTAATACGCGGCGCTGGCAAACAGCACGACTCCGATAACCAAGAAGAGCATTAACATGATCAGCTCATTGACGCTGGCGTACAACGTCTTCCCCAGAACGTGCAAGCCCTTGGAGTGGCGAGTGAGCTTGAAGATCCGACACACTCGAATTACCCTCATGACTCGAAGAATATCGATGCTCCCCGCGGACTCCTCAGGGACCGTGAGAGTCACGTAAAAAGGGAGAATGGAAAGCAGATCTAGGATGTTTAGCACCCCTTTGAGGAAAGCAATCTTATTAGGCGAGGCGATCAAGCGGATCACATACTCGAAAGTGAACCACGAGCTGCAAATCGCGTTCATGACGAAGAAAATACGTTTGTTTTTGCCGCGCTCTGCAGGCTGAGTTACTGTCCCGTTGCTGTTCCTCTTTTCGGGAACAGAATCGTCCAACACGGGCATTGTTTCCACACAGAAAATCACAATAGAAATCATGATAATCACAAGCGAGAATATCGCCAAGGCTTTGGCCTGAGGTGAAGAGCTTGGGTATTCGAACAACATCCAAATTGTTCGCAAGGTCTTGTTCTCGGGAAGTTCCTCTTCTTCCACCTCCCCATCTCCGTTCTCTTCTTCTTCGTAGGCGGCCTCTTCATTTTCTTTCTGTATTTCGTCGGTCAACTGAAAGAAGTTCAACTCCTCGAGGAAAATTTCATTGGGTACATGTAGAGGCCTCTCAAGAAGTCCGCCTGATTGATAATAATACAAGATGGCGGTAAACGAACTCCGATGTCGATCGAAGAAATACTCGTTGTTTTTGTCGTCAAAGTACCGCTTTCGCTTTTCGGGATTTCCCAACAGCGTGTTGGGAAACTGGTTCAACGTGTGCTCGAAAGTCTCGTATTTTTTCCCGCCGATGTTGATGACGACTGGCTCCGCCAATTTGTCGATCACGACTGGTACCGAGTTTGAAATTGACCAGTCACGTGACGTGGTGCGCGACCGGCGGTAACTAAGGGTAACTGCTGTGGCGACAGCCATTGCCATAGGGCTGAGGTAAAAAACCGACCAGAAAAATTCACCCTTATTTTACAACGTGGTTTTCCTCTGTTTAAGACACTTATTGTAATTTGTTAACTTTCCAACTTTCTTTAGGAGGCGTTTACACGTAATTTCCTGTTTGCAGATCATCCATAGAGTTCAGTGTTTTGTTGGACACAGCTTTCAGTAGCTTTTTCAAACATTCGTCATAAAGGTCCAGCTTTTCGCAAATCCCCCAGGAACAAGCCTTTTCCTAAGTCTTTGCTCTGATTAAACCGAAATTGAAAACAAACTCTTTAAATTATTCAAAACTCACAGCACGACACTGGTTTCAATATATTTGAATTACACGGCTTGAAAATAATTAATATCCTTGGCCTTGGCTTGAGGAAATACGAACTTTTTAATTTCCCAAACGTCTGTTAAATACGTGACACTGAAAAGACTGCTGTCGTTGTAAAAACCACTCCAAGATACCTTTCCAGACTTTCTTTTTGACCTCTTAATGGTTGAGGTCGAATGGCCATTCGAGAATGTTACAAACGAAAGCTTCAACCAAATCAAACTCTTATTTCTTCCCTTTCATATTGTTTAAAACAATTGCGATATTCAGGCACTCTCCTTGACTTATTCACGTCCAAAAGTTTTCCAGTCCTGTGTCTAAACTTCTCGAGGCTTGTTTAGTTCCTCTTTGAAGACTGAAAAGAGAAAGAACATCGATTATTTTACTGTTGTCAGTGATATGGTAATGTTTTTGAATGAAATTGAAACAAAACACGTTTCACAAAACGAAGTTTGGAGTTCAGAAATATACATTTATGAAGGTTAGCGAGGTGTGCCTTTTCTTCTCAAAAATGTGTAATTAATAGATAGTTTTTCCTTAAGCCAGGACTATTTCCTGTTTCAAATTGCATGTCGACGGGGGTCTTCGAGGACAATTTACACTTAAATTGGTAGTTTCAATCGAAACGCCCTAAACTCGAAAAAGAACTGTGGTAAAAGGTAAAACGCGTCAAATAAAAGGAAAAACCAAGAGAAAGATTGGAAAAGACAACGAGATTTCTTCGTGGCTACTCACTGTCTGTAAATTCTTCACACTGATTTCCCTTGCAAATGTGAGTTACTGTTCTTGTCCTTGATTCTCCTGAGTTTTGACCACCTATTAGCGTCCAAACGAGAACAAAAATGCGAACAAACACATAGCTAAAACACAAATTTTTGCCTTACAAGGGCGCGAGAGGGAAATATGCCGTGTGTGCAGTATTCATTTTTAAACATCTTACTCTCGCATATGGGATTGTTTTGAATTCCCTGGCCGCGATGACGTCGATCGATCCTTAACTAGATTGTCGATCTTTTCTACAAGACGGTTCGCCAAGCGACGTGAATTTCGCAAAAATAAAAAGTCGCTTCAAATCCTTAATCGTTTTGGTCGCTTCACTGAAACCTTGATATCAGAATTGTGAACCTTTGAGTACGAATGTGTTCCTCGTTTTACTGGCTAATTCCGATATTTTGGGAAATCCATGTATTTAAGTTCACTGGTTTTGTTCTCAACTGAACAGGTGTCCGCGAACGAAGTAATTAAAAGGCAAATTTTAATGGATTGGTTTACGTTTGGCGCCAACTTTGGGGAAATGCGGGCGTTGTCTAAAACACCACAAAACGACGCAATTACTGTTTTGCTTGAAGGAAATGGCGTTTTAAATGAAATTTTGAATAAATCAGTGATTTCACTGACAGTTATTGTGTGGCCTGCGCGCTCGAAGAATATACTTGATTATAACTTTTAATCACGTCAAATAACTGCACTAAAAATTTATGTGGTTCCAATCAACGGAAAAATATTCCAAAATTAAAACGATGAAATACACGTGTTTTTTACTTTCACTGCGAAAAACTAAAGGAAATTTGGTCGAAGGCAACATGCAAGTTTTTCACACTGCATCTAATTTCTAACGGAAAGATCTGATTATATACCCACGATTTTTGNGCCAACTTTGGGGAAATGCGGGCGTTGTCTAAAACACCACAAAACGACGCAATTACTGTTTTGCTTGAAGGAAATGGCGTTTTAAATGAAATTTTGAATAAATCAGTGATTTCACTGACAATTATTGTGTGGCAAGAGCGCTCGAAGAATATACTTGATTATAACTGTTAATCACATCAAATAACTGCACTAAAAATTTATGTGGTTCCAATCAACGAAAAAATACTCCAAAATTAAAACCCTGAAATACACGTCTTTTTTACTTTCACTGTGAAAAACTAAAGGAAATTCGGTCGAAGGCAATTCGCTAGTTTTTCCCACTGCGTTTAATTTCTAACGGAAAGATCTGATTATATACCCACGATTTTTGTTCAAATTCTCTTAACAAGAACTATAAGAACATGTACGGAGACAAGTGAGGAGAATCTGGATGCTGAAAACAATCTGGCCCTAAAAAGTGTTAAGCGCAGTTATAAAATAAGAATGAGACTACTGACGATCTGATTGACCGCTTAGCGTGTTACTATTTCGGACTTTGTACACAAAGTCAGGTAAAATCATGATCAAGCTCAATTTTCTTGCCCTTAATTTATAAAAAAAATAGAAGACTACCGCCTAGTATGAGAGTACAGCTTATGAAAACCCTTTTCACATTACAGGTTTCCGAGTGCTTCTTTCTGCAGCCCGCTACCCTAAACTGTCAAGAACCAGCATTAAGCGTTTTTGTCTTCTTTTCTAGTTCAAACAATGAACGGGTTCTCGTTTCGGCCTTCGGCTCATGTCGACCTTGCCGTTGAAGCCTGGAACCCATATCAACCGGCTGGTAAAAGTTATGCCTCTTTGCCGAGTGGAATGTGACGAATGTGTTCCAAGCTCGACCAACAAACTCAATTGGAGATGGGCGATACATGTATCTGGGAAAACTTGAAAGCTTTACGTAGCATTGCATTTACCCTTTCACTAGGGATCGCCAAAATTTTATCTTGTGTACGTAACTTATTAAAATCAAACAAAATAATATCCTCAACCTGAAAGTACCATACTTCTCTAACTCTTTCATTTGGATGCTCACACCCAAGGGTTTTGTCTCAGTAGAACATCTTGTACACGTAACCATTCAAATGAAAGCTACTCAGCAGGTGATTGCACTGTTTGTCATGCTGTACAAGATGATTACAAACTTTTACTGAGGCGGATAAAACTTTACACTCTATACCCTACACGTGAAATCGTTCGAATACAGTGAAGCATTTGTGCTAAAATCAGTTTTGAGAGCTAATGACAGAATATTGATTTCGTCACCATGGTGAGTTTCAAATAGCTAACAACTACCTTTACCAGTAAACTACTTAAAGGGTCACAGTAAGCCACACCTTTGTTTTTGTTTACATGCGAGAGTTTGGCTATTATTTTTATTCAGAGCATGTCGAAACGAAAGGAAATCAATGTGAAATTACTTAAGATAATTTAACATACTTTCAGGAACACAACTTGCAGTTAAACAATAATGTTTCGTTTCACCCTGCAATTTCAATAATCTCGATGCCATCGTTGTATTTTTAATACAACGACATTTCCTAAAATTTAGAATATTTTGTAACAAAATACTAAAAGAATAACACGGCTAAGGGAAATTTAACAGAAATAATACGAAACCAGTTGAAATGCACGATTTTAAGTTATACGTCCACCCACCCCACCTCCCCCCAGAACTTACGCGCTCAATTTGCATCAAATTGTGAAAATAAACATGGTGGTTATAGTGGTACACAAATCAATGTGTGGGTTGTCCTGGCTTGATTGTAAACGCTCGAAAAGTCAGCTGCTTTCAAGTCCATAACGGCGGTTGATTAACTGCAAGCCGCCGACACAAAACAAGAATATAATCCCTAACTCTAAACCGGCACCTGATTGAAGTGTTTCGAATTGGTTTTGTCGCTTTGTCAACTGACTTACATGAAAGGGTCACAAGGTTATCTATCTGGAAAACACGCGAAAGGAACGGTCGGGTGAAAAAAAAAAACGAAGTGAATGGAGCATAGGAAAGCAAAATTAGAAAACCCGACCCGAAGCAGGCGGTTTTCTCTACTACTCCCAGCAGTCATAAGGAGTTGAATCCAATAAAAAACGCGCGTGCAACTTACAATTTACTAACTTCTGTTGAAATAGTCAGTCGAAAAAAGGTAACAATTTACGTACAAGATAAAAACCAAGATTGGTCATACCTTAAACTGTCGCTTATAAGCCCTGGGCTTTTACAACTTCGTAAGGGTTTTTCGATGGGCTTATAAACAGAGGGGCTTATAGCCGAGGGGACTTATCGCCGGAATAAAAAAAAGAACTTGATCGAAATAGATTTCTATCTGGTGGTTTTTAACAGAGCTTTAAAATATAACAAAGCTAATTCAAAACAAGGAAAGCTAGAGGAGG